CACAAACGGGGCTGAGCCCTGAGACTGGGGGGGTCTCGGGATTTTTGGGTGGCTGGAGGGTCTGCTGTGCAGAGGACAGCAGGTTCACGAGGTGCCCGTGGAGCGGTTGGCTTTGACGTGAGGTGGGCAGAGTTGCTGAGACCTTTTAAGGAGAGGTGTGCGGGGCTCTCTTCACCCAAGCACCGACATTCCTGGTGGTGCTGTTGGACACCGGGAGGTCCAGGTCCTCTTCTGGGGCTGATCTGGCACCAGTGAAGGGGGGATGCTGTCGGTGGGGAGGTCGACCTGCGGCGTGGGTCTCCTCGGGGGGGAGAAGCCTATTTGTCTTCTCCCCACAGGCTGCTCTGAGTTTATTTAATTACCTTTTCTTCAAATTGTTTCCCATTGCTAATCTCTTCTTAGCTGGAGTAGGATGGTTTTAAACTTAAAAATGCTGAAATATAAATGCGTATTTGAACTCTTTTCTGATGAGATTTTTACTCTGAAATCTCTATGTGGGATCATATCTTAAGTTTTGCTGTGATTTGCTTATTTCCGTAGCGTCAAACGCCTTCTCTGCACTAGACTTGCGAAGAGCCTGCCTTTTGCAGGCTGTCTGGCACCAAACCCTCATCCTCTACCAAAAAAAATAAAATAAAATAAATCCCCAAATCCAGCATTTCCAAGTGTGGCAGCTCAGAGCAGGAGGTGAGCAGCACTGCTTGGGTGCCCCACCAAGAGCAGAGCATCCTCCTCCAGCGTCCAGGGACCTCCCGAGGCACCGGCAGGCTCTGCGGGTTTGCCTTGTGGAATAACGATGGAAGAAAATGTCATTTAAATAAAAACCTGTTTGTGGTTTGGCTGTGGGCAGCGCTTTCTCCAAATAACGAGTTGAAGAGCAGCGGAGTGGGAACCTCGCTCTTTGTGTCGGCTCTGCCACGGGCTGGGTTGGAAACAAAACGCTACTTAGCAAACATCTCCATGCAGCAGAGGTGCTTTTTTAAAAAAAAATAATACCGCCTCTCGGTTATGTTGCTTGTTTATAAATCTCTTTGCTTTCCATGGAGAGCTTGCGGGAAGTCAGTTCTGAACATAAAACTTCAAAGGGAGAGAACCAGCCGTGAGCCCACGTGGTGGCCGAGCGCACTTGGATCTTGCAGCAAGATGTTTGCCTGCACCCAGTGAGTTACTGGTGCTGACTGCTGCCGTGAAATGTTTATTGGGAAGAGCCGGGAAGGGAAGGGCTTGTACGTGCCCATCTCCGCATCCCCAGCCCTGCCGAGGGGATCCGAGACGTTCGCTCATCGCCAGCGAGACCCACCTTCCCGTGCCAGGAAAGGTCCGTTACTGCGGCTTTGAAATCCAAACAAGTCAACATTTCTCCTTCCAGAAACGTTGGTATTTAAAAAGAGAAAACTACTTCCAGAGGAAATGTTTGTTTGTGGACTGTCCCTCTTGTTTACCGCGGCTGATAAGAGCTGCTCTTCAGCTGTGCCCTCCCCACAGTCCTCCTCTCAAGAGCCTCAATTATTTTTATTTTTAAGAGCAATGTGTGTTTAGATAATGATTCTTACAAATGTATTTATTGAAAACAAACACAGTAGGAAGCCGACTACAAAGCAGACTGCTTTGGCAGCTGGTGCAAGAGGCAGCTCGCTATTTTTGTGTGTTGGTGGTGGGACAGTCTTATGACACGTCCGTCCCGCTCTCTGCGTGCCGGAGCATCAGGAGCTTTGTCCCGGGGGATGGCCGTGGCCAGTCCGTCCTGGGTCATAGGCTCAGGGTGATGTGTGTTTGGCTGAACGTAGTTTCTTGCCCCCACCGCCTTGTAGTATCTCCAGGACTTTTTGGAGAGCGTGAATTGGCCGCGTGGTGGCTGGGGTGACTCTGCAGACATGGGACCAGCAGCATCCCTAGCAAAGGGATCCGGAGAGGAAGGGGAACAGCAGTGAGAGCTGCAGGGACAAGTCACCCATGGGCTGCCATCTCCAAACTGACCGTGGCCCCGTGCCCCCTGTGTTAGCACACAGCCTCTTCAAACCCTCGCCTGGACCGACCTGCACGCCCCGCTCGCACCGTAATCCCTCTCCGGCCCCGCTATGCCGGTGGTACCCGCAGTTCTGCCCCCGCAAGCCGGCGGCCATCCCTCACCCTGCTGCTTTGCTGCTGGTTGCAGCTTTCCGGGACTCGCTGGGTGATGTGCGCTCCGCGGGCAGCAGACCCTTGGTCTCGTAGCTCTCGTGTGTGGTCCGCTTTGACATGCTTTCCCTT